TTGTTTGCATTGGGAATCCCTGAGAATCTGTTGGTTTCAAAAAAAGCAATATCAAATATTTTGCAATGCCCTGCTTCCTGCTGCAGCTTCTTGCTGTCTGGTTCTTCAGGAAAAGAGAGGGGAGGGCAGAATAGGGACCAAGTATAACTTGCCTTTTTAGTCCTCTAAATAATGAGCAGCATTTGTTATGGATCCACACAGTGTGTCACAGAGTCCCACCTCACACCCGTCTGCACAAAAAGGCATTTGTTTCCATACAGTTGCTCGTTGCTCTTGCTCTCAAATGTTCCAACCAAAAGGCAGAGCAAGAGAACAGTGCCAGGAAGAGATTTGTAAGCTTTCCTTTGCCTGCCAATTTTAGACTGGGAGAACCCAGCCTGCAGAGCCTTCTCTTGTCTCCACTGACTACAGAGGGAGCCTGGAGAAAACAAGATCCCAGGAGCACCTGCAGGGGAGTTGATGAAACTCACTGTTCGAGTCTCAAATCTCCGATTAATTAAAAGTTGTTATGCTTTTAAAGCAAAATTCCCAGTTCACAGAAAGAAGCAGGAGAAAAAAATGTTCAATAAAGACGGGCCTTTTTCCTTTCATCTTTTGATTTTGTTTTTAGGCAGAGAGGAGCAGAGCCTGTGACTCTAAAAACAGGGTGATTGGAAATGCCAGGGGGGAGAAGAGGTTCTGAGATCAACTGGCATCCAGCCTTCCACCCGTCCCCAGCACGTCAAGCAGACCATGGCCCTAAGTGCCATGTCCAGTCTTTCCTTAAACACCTCCAGGGATGGTGACTCCACCACCTCCCTGGGCAGCCCATGTCAATACCTAATCCCTGTTTCTGTCCAAAAATTCCTGCTCCTGCCCCTGACAAACATCCCCTGACAGGCAGGTCCTCATGTCCTCTTGTCCTATTGTCTGTTGCCTCGCAGAAGAGGCTGAGCCCACCTGGCTCCACCCTCCTGTCAGGAAGTTGTGGACAGTGAGAAAGTCAGCCTCAAGCCTCCTCCAGGTTGGAGAACCCCAACTCTCTCAGCTGCTCTTCCTAGGACGTGCACTTGCCCAGTTCCATTGCCCTGCTCTTGACCCACTCCAGCCCCTCAACGTTCTTCCTGAATTGAGGGGCCCAGAACTGGACACAGCACTCCAGTAAGTGGACCTTTGGGACATGGACTCAGTGCACTGTTAATAGGTCGTTCTTCTGCATCTAAACAAGGAATATTGGTAATACCAGGTGTTATTGATGCTGACTATACTGGCAACATTGGCATTA